AGTAGTAGTAGTAGTAGTAGTAGTAGTAGTAGTAGTAGTAATATAAACGCAACAACAACAACAAAATAATACCCCAAAATAACAACAATAACAGTAATCAACAAACATCACCTGAGTCATTACACGCCAACGCTCACCAGGTATCCAGCCCAACAGGTAAGTCTCATTAGGGCGAGATATTAGTACAGGTGTAGCAAATTGTCACGGAGTTCCCTGGTTTCGTTAGGCCAAGTGGAAAGTTATGTTCCTCCCTGTTGACTGGGGAGGGTGAGTGAGGGAGAGGAGGAATGAGGGAGAGAGGGGGAGATGAGGTGGGAGGGAGGGAGAGAGGGGGATATAGAGTGAGGGAAGGAGATGAGTGAGAGTGGGAGAAAGAAGGAAAGACTTAATAACAGGAAGGAAGGTTAACTGGTATTTGTGTACGTAAGGAAGGAAAGGAGGAGAATGGAGGGGAGAGGAGGGAAAGAGAGAGAAGGAGAGCATGGCGAACTGTGTACCTACGTGTGCAGTAGGAAGGGTTAATGAGAGAGAGAGAGAGAGAGAGAGAGAGAGAGAGAGGGGACTGTATATATATGTGTGTGTGTGTGTGTGTGTGTGTGTGTGTGTATGTGTGTGTATTTGTCGTCGTTAACCGCGTACTCTGTGGTTTTTGTCTCTCTTGTGTGCTAACGTAGCTGTGTCAAGAGACCATTGTCGGTACTCTCTCTCTCTCTCTCTCTCTCTCTCTCTCTCTCTCCCTCCCTCCTTCTACCCCTTTCTCACTCTTTCTTCCCCTGCTACACACCTCCCCGGGCTTCTGTAGTCATAATAGTAGGCTACAGCACTACAGCATCCTCCTAGAGTCACTACAAAACAAGTCGTGAGTGCCACAATCGTAATGCACTCCTGGAACTAATGGTATAGCATTTTCTTGGTCCTATTACAGAGCAAGCCAGTCTTAATACAATTCAGGAACCCCCCCTCAGAGCAAATGGTATAGGCAGCTTCGTATATACTGACCCTAAATATCCCTGAAACTGCTATATATATATATCCCCAGGACTCTGTAGAGCAAATGGTATAGCATCCCTCTGGGGCCATTACAGAGCTATCGCCATTCCCTGCAGGTACCATTCTATGCATGGTAAGTGTAGACTAAAACAGCGGAACATTATACTATTACAAGTGTTCAAAACAGGTGTATAGTTTCAGGCAGTGTAGTGTTGCCCGCTCCTCAATTCTCTCAGAGGTGTTACACCCAGCCTTCCTCCCTCACTCCCTCCAGCCTCCCTCCCTCACTCCCTCCAGCCTCCCTCTCTCACTCCCTCCAGCCACCTTTCCCCTCCAGTTGCTGAACACGAGACTAAAGTAGTGTGTGTGTGTGTGTGTGTGTGTGTGTGTGTGTGTGTGTGTGTGTGTGTGAGTGTGTGTGTGTGTGTGGGTGGGTGTGAGAGCGCGCCGTTTGTATGTATGTGTGTGTGTGTGTGTGTGTGTGTGTGTGTGTGTGTGTGTGTGTGTGTGTGTAAATTATGATTCAATCGAAATGACAGACGAGGCTAGAGGCGGGTAGTTACATCGGTGTATTATAATGGTGCAAATTTAATTGAACTTTTTATATGTTGGAGGTTTGTGCTGCGCTACAAGGAGTATTAGGGGCGGCAGTTACGATAGAGTGGTGGTTGAGGAAACAAACGAAGATTTACTGTATATAACACGAGGTTTGTAACACTCCCAAAGTAGCAGAAGAGAAATGGTGAAGATTAAGTAAACAATCACACCTGTTGTCTAAGTGAACGGCGTGTAATTAAAAGCCTTCTAACCTGCCGGATGTTTCTGAGAAATTGGTAAGGCGACTTCAGCTTTCAGTCGGATTTTGTTGTTTGTCGACTGTCTCCAGTATCTCAGCGCGGAGACGTCGCCGCCGTAGTATTTTTTCAGAGATGAGGCCATCACTATCCTTCTCCTCCTCCTCCTCCTCCTCCTCCTCCTCCTCCCACCCTCTTGTACGTCATTCACATTGGCAACAACGACGATAATGGTGATGAGAAAGTTTAAAAGCCAAATATTGAAGGTCTCATACTCGGGGAGCCTAATGCCGTCACCGAGGACAGTCAGAGTGGCGGTGGTGAGGGACTGGTACCCGTCCACTTCGCTGTCTATCAGATCCATCAAGTAAGAAGTAAACATTACCAGAAACATCACCACCAACACCGTCACCTGCAGCACCATGGTTAAGTCTGTCTCAGTCTTGTAAAAAGTCTCTCGACACCGGCCAACAGGTAGGCTGGCTGGATAAGGCTTTGATCATCACCAGCAGCAGCCGTGCACACACTAGTAGGTTCACCGGCTCATCAATACTCATCAATGGTTCTATATCAAGTGCCCAGAAGTTACCCGCGTTTTTCCCGGTTATTCTCTGTAATGTCGTACTGTATTCATGCGATACTTTAAAATGCAAAACCTGCAGACAGAATAAACTGCCGTTGAGGAGAAAAAGTGTATAACCTTTACTCAGTAACCGACACTGGCGAAGGTGTGATGTCTCTAAAGCAATTGGATGACGGTGAGCGCCAAAACCACCTTTAAGTACACAGAGACAACTTCAGATGTATCGTCTTTGAAGAGAAGCTTGTCTGTGTCTGCATAAATCTTAACAGCTGCCTCGTTGGGGTGATACTGGAGAGGTTGGGGGTGGCTGGAGATGACTTGGGAGGAGAAGATCCAGTGGTCATGAAACTTCTCATATAGGAGAGACAAATGAATAAATAAGTCGTCGTCCTGCGTATGAAGACCGTACTGCACCAGCACCGCCCGGGTCTGTTCCTCCACCCACCTCGCCGTCTCCAAAGTTTGCAGTCGCGTGTCAAGAAGTGACTGCGAGAGTGAGGCTTCGCTGTCTTCCACTTCACGTCGACTCAGGAGGACGTAAGCGTGGGGAGTGACGCCGTACCTGTTTGTCTTACTACGGAATGATTTCGTTTCAGTGTAATTATGAAAAGGCAGTGTCTCGGCTGCTGGATGGTTTAAGTCAGGTTTTCCTTCTTGCCAACTGGGATGCATCCTTGTCCCGATTGGTTTCCCGTCATCCCTTCCCACACGGTACTGGCGTATCGTGATATTACCCACGAGGTCACCGTAGCCCAGATCATCCTTATCACTAAAGAGTCTCTGTAGCTGCTTCTTGGTGTACTGAGACACATCATCATTCTCACTGAACCCGGCAGTCTCGTGCAGTCCTAGGCCATCGAGACGCGGTTTCAGCTCTGGGTACATAATACACTCTGAGTGGTCGACGTGGACAAACCGGTGCTTGAGGGCCTGGTGGTGATAATAGCCTTGTGGTTCTCGAGCAATGTGCCCACGTATGAGATGAGAGTTATAGTCACCAGGTGGAAGTAGGAGAAAAGAACACCGTGGAAGTTGTGCTTTGAGTTCGGCCTCAGACCATCCACATACCCCATGAGGAGCACACGCACCGCTGATGGAGGCTCACTGACGTTAGGTTACGTTACGTTCGGATATCTTATGTTATGTTATGTTATGTTATGTTATGTTAGTGTCTTAAGAGTATAATTCTAATATAGACTATGTGGAGAATGATGTGCGTGTGTGTGTGTAGGTATGTTAGTGTATGTGTATGTTTAGGTGTGTGTGTGTGTGTGTGTGTGTGTGTGTGTGTGTGTGGGGAACGGAAGGCTGTTGATGAACTTCAGAAATATATTGAAATCCTTTAAAAAGTCTCAAACAATACTTCGAAAACATTGTCCTGCAAACAATATGAAAGACTTAAAATACGATTTGTAATGTTGCGGCAATATTTTAAAGGCGTCTTGAAATTATTAAAAAAAAGGGGTGGGGGGAGGAGCGATGTGTCCACCCCTCTTAAAATTCCTGGAAAAAACAACACCTTGAGAGCGAGGACTTTTAGCTGACCTGAAACACGTAAATGAGATCAGAGAGAGAGACTGACTTTGATAAATTAACAAGATCTTCCCATTATTATTATTATTATTATTATTATTATTATTATTATTATTACCAATCTCAAGCCTAAAATACCCTGCCTACCTAATATCCCCCCAAAAAATATTCCCCTCCAGGTACAAAATTGTGACCCTATTCATAAAAGCCTATTATCAGACCATGTTGTTAAGAGGTCATACATTATACTAATTCACGATGTAATTAGATATTATGAAGAACCTCGACCTTAATGGCCTCGTCAGATTATAATTACTGGAAATATAAGCAGCAAGATTATATGTAAATGAAGTTTGTGTTTGTTTGCTTGTTGTTATAAAGTTGTGAGATATTATTATGTGTTGTTGGTTAGGAAAATGATGTAACGAGGTGATGAAGGTGTTAGGAGGGGGTGAGTGAGGACTATGATTAAGGTGAGGTGATTAATGGTGAGAGGAACACACGCTTATACATATACACACGTGAATATATATATACACGTCCATACACACACACACACACACACACACACACACACACACACACACACACAAATATGTAAAAAAAACTTGTATAACATTTTCTCTCACACTCATCATCATCATAAGAAAGAAAGAAAGAAAGAAAGAAAGAAAGAAAGAAAGAACAACATACATACAAGTCAGGTCATGATTCTTTATAGTTTCTCTTCCTTCATCTTTAGATTTGACCTCTGACCCCTCCTCGACCCCCTTCCCCCTCCTCACCCCCTCCCCTCCTCCTCCCCACAAACTTACACCTGAATACCCAAGTTTTAATTAAATCAACACAGGTCTGACGGAAGCAAGGTTTTACTTAAGTTCACAGCGGGTTTTATTTTTTATTTTTTTTTTTTTTCGTTTCCATTGTATCTCTTCTTCCTCTTCCTCATCCTCTTCTTCTCTTTCGCATTCAACTGTTTTTCTTTGTATTCTTTCTTCCTCTTCTTCTTCCTTCCTTTCATCAACATTGTCCATTTTTCTCTCGTTCCGTTTTCTCTTAATTAGTGATTACCTCATTCCCATTTTCTTTCATGTTCACAGGTATCGTGGGCCAGACGTCGAGGGGGAGACTTTCACATCCTCACTGTTGGATTCCACACCTACCATAATGACGAGAGGTAAGTGGAGGGGGCTTCCACACCTCTTAGAAGATTAATTAAGGCTTCTACACCTGTTAGAAGATTAATTAAGGCTTCCACACCTGTTAGAAGATGAATTAAGGCATCCACACCCGTTAGAATATTAAGTCTTGGGAATAGACTTCAACACCTGTTAGGAGATCAACAGGAGCATCCAGGTGTGTTCGGAGCATAATTGAGTTTCCATACTTGCCGTGAAGCGAACGTTGGGGTTTCCAAACACCTGGTAAAAGATAAATAAGAGGTTTCCCCACACACCATAAGAGACAAGGATTCCAAACTTGTTAAAATATAAACACAAGGATTCCACACCCATTGTTTACATGATGCTCTCAAGGTGTGACGTCACGGAATCACAGAAATCGAACCCTGGGTCCATTTTCGTTTCTTGTGAGAGTTTGGTTGTATGTTTATGAGTTTATGTGAGGACCTATACTTAGGCACTGTCCTTGAGAGAGAGAGAGAGAGAGAGAGAGAGAGAGAGAGAGAGAGAGAGAGAGAGAGAGAGAGAGAGAGAGAGAGGTATTTTAACAGCTCCCAGAACAGTTAAAGCATAAAGTCATTAGAGTATAGCTAAACGACCCTTACCTTTAATCACCTTAATGAGCAATTACTGAATTAAAAGCTTAGATAAATAATGCCAAGAACAGCAAGTAATACGTGGCTTATCGTTAACTGATTATATATTCAGGTAACACTTAATTTGGCAAGTAATTTGTAAGTAAGGTCATTTTAGGAGCTGTACTTATATATAAAAAAAATAAAAAATATATAATTATAATAACTATGTACTTAAAAGGTCATCATTAAGTCACCTTAGGTCATCATTAAGTCACCTTAGGTCATCATTAAATCACCTTAGGTCATCATTAAATCACCTTAGGTCATCATTAAATCACCTTAGGTCATCATTAAGTCACCTTAGGTCATCATTAAATCACCTTAGGTCATCATTAAGTCACCTTAGGTCATCATTAAGTCACCTTAGGTCATCATTAAGTCACCTTAGGTCATCATTAAGTCACCTTAGGCTCATCATTAAGTCACCTTAGGTCATAATTAAGTCACCTTAGGTCATCATTAAATCACCTTAGGTCATCATTAAGTCACCTTAGGTCATCATTAAGTCACCTTAGGTCATCATTAAGTCACCTTAGGTCATCATTAATCACCTTAGGTCATCATTAAATCACCTTAGGTCATCATTAAATCACCTTAGGTCATCATTAAGTCACCTTAGGTCATCATTAAATCACCTTAGGTCATCATTAAGTCACCTTAGGTCATCATTAAGTCACCTTAGGTCATCATTAAGTCACCTTAGGTCATCATTAAGTCACCTTAGGCTCATCATTAAGTCACCTTAGGTCATAATTAAGTCACCTTAGGTCATCATTAAATCACCTTAGGTCATCATTAAGTCACCTTAGGTCATCATTAAGTCACCTTAGGTCATCATTAAGTCACCTTAGGTCATCATTAAGTCACCTTAGGTCATCATTAAATCACCTTCTCTTAAGCTAGTCATTACTTAAATTAATAACGCGGTATTATTAAACACTGGTGAAAGATATCGACTGTAATATCCCAACAAACGTTACGTCCTTACAGCACTTAAGGTTGCAATATTGACCGTTACAAACAGAGTGGAGAGGTGATAAACTTTGCAATATCAACCGGGTGAGTATTGTGTGAGTTCATCTAATGTTTACAAACAACTCCACGTGTTGGTCATCAGCTGTTAAGACCTATCATGGTTTAAGAACTGGTGTAATAAACTGTGGTACATCGATTATTGTCTCTCTCTCTCTCTCTCTCTCTCTCTCTCTCTCTCTCTCTCTCTCTCTCTCTCTGTACATTCTATCAAGTGACCAACAATTTTACTCTTATTGGGTATTATTATCAGGTGTGTGTGTGTGTGCAAGATTTGGGGTTATGTGTGTATAAACTTTGACCACATACACACACTACAGGGACACACACACACACACACACACACACCATCATAGCTGCGATATTCCTTCACGCTGTGGCCCATGTTGAGAACACTTAGGCCATTATGACCCCTTATCACATTTTGACTTGACCTTTGACCCAGTAAAGTGTGATGGTGTGATGTGATGGTGATGGTGATACAGGTTGATGGTGTAGTACCATACACAAGAAACCTGACATAACCTAACCTAGCAAACCAAACCTAACCAAACAACCTAACCTAACCAAACCTAACCTAACCTAAAGCCAAACCAACCTAACCAAATCAAGCCAAACCTAGCCTAACCTAACAGACCTGCCTAACCTACTTCTAACCTAACCTAACCTAACCAAACCTAACCAAACCTAACCTAACCAAACCTAACCTAACCTAACCTAACCTAACCTAACCTAACCAAACCTAACCA